TATATTTACACATTACTGAAGTTCATATTTTGTAATCTTATTACATTGATAAGCTATCAAAAACTGTTTTTGTGGGATTATGTATTCACACAAATAATATCTGAAAATTATGCCTAGATTTTAATTATTATACAAATTTATTTAAGATTAAAATTGATTACAAAGCTGTCTGGTAACTTAATAATATTTATTCAAATATTTAGGGATTTTAATTTAAATTATTGTTCATTCAATAGGAAATTTCCTGCTAACATTGGTTTACTATAAAAATGAAGTATACCAAAAATTTACAATTTTCAATCAAGGTATTTCAAAATTTGCAGTTAGAATTTTTGAATTATCAGTATACTGTTAAAATTTATCTTACATCAAGATAATATAGTGCATTAGATTAGATTATATTTAACTTTATAGACTAGAACAGATTATAAATTAAGTGAGCATATTTTTTGAACTTAATCCACATCTTCTAAATAGTAAAATATTCACATAAATTAAATTGTTTAAATCAATTGTCCAACCTCTAGAACTTGTTATTTCAAGCAGGCTCAAATCTAAGTTTGGAAGACACTAAAATTGTACAGTTCATAAATTGTCAAAACTATACTAGAATGTAAAATTAACCAGACACTCAGATTTTATGTATTTTTTTCGTTTTTAGATATTTAATTTTTTTGAATTTTATTTTATGCCTTATTAGCGATAACATTTTTAGATGATTTTTGAGAACAACAGTTCTAGACAATCCTTTTTGCTATTAATGTGAAATAGTGTCTTAATTTAAAGAGCATTATTTTAAGTATACCTTGGTGTTAAATGTTTGCAAGTTAGGCTTTAGTGTTTTTTGTTTTCTTCTTTTCAAAAATTGCAATAACAAAATGATGACACCAGAAGAAATACCACAAGCTGTTTTTTTACAGGAAGATGGGCGGAGCATTCATTAAATCGCAAATGCTTTAGGAACTTCTTGAAGTACAGTGTTTGATGCATTACAAAGATTTCAGATAACAGGGACAATACACCAGGGGGCCAGGTCAAAGAAGACAAAGAACCATAAGTCAAGTTGAAGATGCTTTATTAGATTGTAAGTATTACATGATTTCACATTATTAACACCAGTTTACTTGTTTAAAGATTAAAGATGTCTATAGCAACACAATTTCCATTTATACCATTCAAAAAGGTTAAGATTAAGGTCTAGAACAATGACGTATAATATATAGACTCGGTGAACGCTTTAAAAAGTGTCCAAAACATAAATACCTTTGTTATTGTTTATTGTTTTAATACGAAGATGCACGAAGTTCATGATTTCTTACGAAGCATCACGAAGTTGATCTTGTGTTTGAAAACATCATGGACATATGAAAACATTTTCTCCATTTTGTGTGACAAGCAAATTTTATTTTAAATTGTTGAGAGTTATTTACTTACTATTTTAGTAAAATGCCATACTATTTTATCAAAATAATTATTTCTCTTATAGACGGGAACAAAAAGAAATCATAAATATTTAATTTTAATTAAAAAAATAATATTGTCATTAACATATAAATGAGCACGCCACTGTTCTGATAAACATACCTTCAACCTTGAGCCGAGATCTTTCGGACAGCCGATTCTATAGCGAGAATAGGGGACTGCATAGTCTATATATTATACGTCATTGGTCTAGAATACCTCTCACGGGACCTCTATTAACAGCACACCATCGGAGCCAACATTTACACTTCACTAGGGAATATTTTAATTGGGGTGAAGGGGGTGCAGTGTTCTTCACAGATGAATGAAGATTTAACAAATACTCATCAGATGAGCGGCTGAGGATTTAAAGAAGAGCTGGTGAACATTTTCAGCAATGTTGCTTTACTCTGAGTTAAATTTGGTAGAGGTGTTATAATGGTGTGTGCAAGTATTTCCCTAGAGGTTCATACAGAACTTGTTACAATTCAACTGGACAATTTAAACTCTGAAAGGTGTATTGAATAATGTTTGGAAGATCTTGTAGTGCCATTTGCCCCATTTGTTGAAAAAACTTTTTCAACTTTTATTTTTATCCTTTTATTTTTTATCCTTTTTTTTGTTAAATTCTTGATTTGTAATAAATTTTACTTTTAAATTTTGTTTATTATTAAATACTCTATTGGGGATATCTTAAACTATTTTAAATTACAGTTTTTAGGAAAAATCTGGGCGTCTGCTTAATTTTGCACTTGAGTGCTTCTACATAATTTGTAATTTGAGATGTTTTCACTGTAATATTAAAAAATGATCTGTCACAAATTAACAGTTTTTTAACAACATAGAACTGTAGTTTTCTATGTTTCATGTAACACCGCACTATCTTCTGCTAGTACTGTATGGTAAAACTAGTGTCTTGAGCTTTTTCGTGACCTGTTGTTTTGATCAATATAGATTTGGTGCCTTTGGAATCAACTGTCCTATTTGAAAAGGACATCAAAAGTTAGAGGTACCTCATCTATATTTACAATTCAATTAACTTTCAAAAATTATATGTCCTCGCCGATAATAAAAATCTATAAAATTTTGTAATTTTAGATTTGTACTCAGTTGGCATTTTTTTGTCTACGAGATATCTAAGATATCTCCATGATTCAATTACTTGTTAGTATATTCTTCACTTGTACTTCTAGGCCATTTTTCTATGTACAAATAGGAATATTTTCTTGTCTTTACTTAGCAGTTTTAATCTTCTTCTACATTTTCTCTACTGTTTTGAGTAACTGGTAATATTTAGTTTATACATTAAGTTTGAAAGCCTTTTTTGTTTTACTCTCATATTATTCTAATGTAAAAATAAAATTTTAAGAATTATACAAGTAATTTCAATTCAAAGAGATTATAGGATAAGACTAATACTAGCTAAACCATCATATAAAAAGAGTGTAGGTAAATCAGTGATTCTTTCGTTTGTCTTAAGATAACTAGAGTCATAGCAACAAACAATGTCATAGCTACTTTCAGTGGCATGCCATATTTTTCAGACTATAAGACATACCTCAAATTTAGAAATAATTTACCAAAAAAAAAAAAAATACTTTGATGTAACCTGCAGACCATAAGACACAGCAATAATTTTAGTTAATTTTTCTATGTAAAAAATGTATACCTTATAGTCAGCGAAATATTATAAATGCCAAAATACCTGATTAAATACCAGTGAATAAAGTCATTACTGGGACTGAATCTCAAAAATTAAGACATCTATAACCAAATTAAGTCAATCAGTTCCATTAGAATTAAAAAGTACTGAAAATATGTAGTCAAAATATACTACTGCATTTAACTAGAATGTGTAAATGATTCTAATAAAATGAGAAATAACACTAAATGAAAACCAGCTGGAAGACCTATGGATACATCCCTTGAAACAAGATTCAATTATTAATGTGAAAATATTGAAATAAATCAAAAAAATCAGTAAGAGACAAGAAAGCCAAAAAAAGTTCAATACATACTACTTACTGAAGAAAAAAAGTGAAAAATAAGAAAGGTCTCAATTAACATCCATTCCCAAATGATTCAATTTAAAAACAATAGATTTTGTCGATATGTACAGCTTATGGAAGTAACACGCTATTTTTCTTTAAATATCTTAATGTTAATTTTACCTTTTTCATCTTCAGCTACATAACTTAGTTGGGGCCAACTTAGACCATGATAAAAGTAATATTTCATCTGATAGTTTTCTGGTACTTAGTACTGTATGGTAAAACTAGTGTCTTGAGCTTTTTCGTGACCTGTTGTTTTGATCAATATAGATTTGGTGCCTTTGGAATCAACTGTCCTATTTGAAAAGGACATCAAAAGTTAGAGGTACCTCATCTATATTTACAATTCAATTAACTTTCAAAAATTATATGTCCTCGCCGATAATAAAAATCTATAAAATTTTGTAATTTTAGATTTGTACTCAGTTGGCATTTTTTTTGTCTACGAGATATCTAAGATATCTCCATGATTCAATTACTTGTTAGTATATTCTTCACTTGTACTTCTAGGCCATTTTTCTATGTACAAATGGAATATTTTCTTGTCTTTACTTAGCAGTTTTAATTCTTCTTCTACATTTTCTCTACTGTTTTGAGTAACTGGTAATATTTAGTTTATACATTAAGTTTGAAAGCCTTTTTTGTTTTACTCTCATATTATTCTAATGTAAAAATAAAATTTTAAGAATTATACAAGTAATTTCAATTCAAAGAGATTATAGGATAAGACTAATACTAGCTAAACCATCATATAAAAAGAGTGTAGGTAAATCAGTGATTCTTTCGTTTGTCTTAAGATAACTAGAGTCATAGCACCAAACAATGTCATAGCTACTTTCAGTGGCATGCCATATTTTTCAGACTATAAGACATACCTCAAATTTAGAAATAATTTACCAAAAAAAAAAAAAATACTTTGATGTAACCTGCAGACCATAAGACACAGCAATAATTTTAGTTAATTTTTCTATGTAAAAATGTATACCTTATAGTCAGCGAAATATTATAAATGCCAAAATACCTGATTAAATACCAGTGAATAAAGTCATTACTGGGACTGAATCTCAAAAATTAAGACATCTATAACCAAATTAAGTCAATCAGTTCCATTAGAATTAAAAAGTACTGAAAATATGTAGTCAAAATATACTACTGCATTTAACTAGAATGTGTAAATGATTCTAATAAAATGAGAAATAACACTAAATGAAAACCAGCTGGAAGACCTATGGATACATCCCTTGAAACAAGATTCAATTATTAATGTGAAAATATTGAAATAAATCAAAAAAATCAGTAAGAGACAAGAAAGCCAAAAAAAGTTCAATACATACTACTTACTGAAGAAAAAAAGTGAAAAATAAGAAAGGTCTCAATTAACATCCATTCCCAAATGATTCAATTTAAAAAACAATAGATTTTGTCGATATATACAGCTTATGGAAGTAACACGCTATTTTTCTTTAAATATCTTAATGTTAATTTTACCTTTTTCATCTTCAGCTACATAACTTAGTTGGGGCCAACTTAGACCATGATAAAAGTAATATTTCATCTGATAGTTTTCTGGTAGGCATAGTAGATTGCAGTGCTGCATATTCATAAGATCTTCTGGTTTTGCACAGCGAATATTCATTTTGAGAAGATAAATCAGTCCTTTCTTGTTCTCTTGAGTTTACTCCTAGTGTTTTTTAATTCTGTAATTGTTGAGTCACTTGCTCCCTTCAATAGTTCTTTTATAAAACGGAACCTACTTAGAATTAGCTTCCAAACAATGAACCATCCTAAAACAATAAAAAATAAAATACTTAATACACAATGGCAAAAATTAGTAACAATTACCAAATAAAACAAACAGTATAACAAGAATAAAACTTGCGACAACCGAGAGAGCAGCCAAAGCAATATCTTTCATTATGTTTAAACACTTAAAAATCTAATTATTAACTATTACAAAAAGGCAGTGATGTTTATCAGTTCCAACATTTCGCCATTTTGTTCGTAACTAAACATTTAGGTCAAAGGCCGTCACAAGTACATATTTTTTTTGAATCAAGTTATATACCTAAATGTCATTAGATATTAAAACTCAATGCATTAATGTGTCTTGAGATTACGCAATTAGGTAATTTGCTACACCACGTTAATTTTCCAAAATACTTTAAAAACCATGAGTTGAATTTTTGACAAATGACATTGATGTTTCAGCATGGTATTTGGAAAATTTCGAGATCGAACTTTAAAAGAATCGAGCACGGTTTACACTAAATAAATGTAATAAGATCTCTAAAAGCTATCTAAATTGAACTTAGGATTTAAATTAGGACGTGAAGTGTCCTTTTTAATTTGTTAATATTATTTTTAACATATTAGGCTACGGTGTGTAAAATTTATTTTTATTAAATGAAATATAAAAATCGATGTTTTAGATCAACTAAAATAATCGATGTTAGTTTACTGCTTTATGTGTTGCCCAAATTAAGGGGCTCAATTTCATCGTGTAATTGCAATGTTATGCATTTCTGTACCTCAGAATAAAAGTGTATTAAGTCCAATTATAAGCAAAACGGGATTATCAATGATATTTACTTAGAATTAAGTCCTCTTTTATATGATACTAAGATCTAAGCCCAATCTCGAATAATAACAGAGATAGCTATTTTTAAACGATATTAAGTGCTTGTGTCTTCTGGGAGAAAAGAATATCAAATTTAATAGTACAGCCTTTAATAGTTGGGTATTTTTAGTAATGACAATATTAAGTCCAAGTTTAATTTTAAGATTAAGTCCATACTTTCACTTCACATTAATGCGAAACACTGTGTTAAGTCCCTAAGTTCCAACAAGCGGTCAAGGCAAAAACGGTTAGAACTGTTTCTGTCCAACTCTTTGCACATGTTTACCGACGATTTCTGAATAAAGTGAATAAAAATGAGTATAAAAATTTCTGAGCAAGAAAGAAAAAGATGTAGAAATGGTGCAAGAAAGAATTCTAGAGCTCACACACGACAGTATTATTTTGACAAAAATAATTCCATGGTACGTGTGTGCAAAATATTTTTTGTTAACACTCTGCATATTTCAAAATTTTTTGTAACCACATCTTTGGAGAAAAAACAAGCAGGGGTATAATTGTTGTGGATAAAAGGGGGAAGCATGAAAACCATGTTAAGGTACCTGAAGTTGTGAAACAAGAAGTTCGTGATCATATTATGCAATTCCCTGTTGAACAATCACATTAGTCGCGAGAGAGATCGAGTAGAAAATACCTGGAAAGTCACCTTACTACTGCAAAAATGTCTAGACTTTATAAAGCACAGTAGGAAGAAAAAAATACACATGAAAATCTGATTGCCAAAGAATGGTTGTATAGTTACATTTTTAACACAGAGATCAATTACTCCTTCAAGTCTCCAGATAATGATACTTGCGATCAATGTGACTCATTTTTAGTGAAGCTACGTGAAGAACAGAATGATGTCGAAAAGGAATCTCTACAAGCCAAATATAATGAACATTTGGAACAAGCAACAAGAAGATACTCTTTAAAGAAAGAAGATAAAATATGCACAAAACAACAAAGTTCTATAACAATTATGATATGCGTCGATTTACAAAAATGTCTCGCAACACCAGTGTTAACCAAGGCGCAAAGCTTTTGCTCTTAAACGTATAATTACACAATTTATAATGCCACTAATAATGCTACTACTTGTTTGCTGTGGGACGAGTCCAAATCAGGACGCGGTGCAAATTAAATGGCATCAGGATTGCTAAAGTGGGCATTATCATCATCATCACTGGCTCGACAACCCTTTTTGGGTCTTGGCCTGTTTAAGGATTCTTCTCCATTCTGACCTGTTTCGTGCTTTTTTTTTTCCAGTTTTTAATTTTTAATGTTGTTATATCATTTTCTATTTGTTCTACGTATCTCAGCTTCGGTCTTCCTCTTGTTCTTTTTCCTTCTGGCACTTGTTTGAATATTTTTTTTGGTATTTCGCCTTCTTCCATTCTTTCTACATGTCCAATCCAACGTAGCCTTCCTATTTTAATGAATGTTATTATATCCGGATCCTGGTATATGTTGTATAGTTCAAAGTGATACCTTCTCCGCCAAATCCCGTTTTCTTTTGTGCCCTTATATATGTGTCGCAAGATTTTTCTTTCAAAGGTGGCTAATAACGTTTCCTCCCTTTTAGAGAGTGTCCAGGTTTCTGAACCGTATGTGAGTACCGGTCTTATTAAGGTTTTGTATATTTGGCATTTTGTTTTTCTGGAGACGTTATCTGATCTTAGTTGCCTAATTAAGCCATGGTAACATTTATTGGCAATAAATATTCTCCTCTTCACTTCCTCTGCAACGTTGTTATCAGACGTAACTAGAGATCCTAAGTATGTAAAGTTTTTTACCGCCTCAATGTTGTATTCTCCTATTGTTAAATTTGGCAGCTGCCTTATTTGTGCGTTTTTATTTGCAGGCATATATTTTGTTTTTGTCTGATTGATTTTAAGACCACAATTTTTTGCAGCTCGTTCTATTTGAGTGAATGCCTCTATCATTTCTCTTCTTGATCTTGCGATTATGTCAACATCATCTGCAAATGCTAGTACTTGCACGCTTTTATTAATTATTGTTCCTCGGGTATTAACTGTTGTGTCTCTTATTATTTTTTCAAGTATGATGTTGAATAATATGCATGATAGAGCGTCTCCCTGGCGTAGTCCCTTCTTCACATCTATTGTTTCCGTTAATTCGTTTTGTATCCGGATTTTACTTTCTACTTTTAGTGTTTCTTTTATCAATTCTATTAGCTGTGTTGGTATATTAAATTCTTTCATTGCTTTTGTTAGGAATTCTCGGTTTATATTGTCATATACGCTTTCGAAGTCTATGAAGAGATGATGTGTGTCGATGTTATATTCACTTGTTTTTTCAAGGATCTGTCGCAGAACAAATATCTGGTCTATTGTTGACTTCTGTCTACAGAAGCCACATTGGTATTTGCCAACTATTTTTTCAGCGTATGGTCTAAGTCTTTCATACATTACGTTGGACATTATTTTGTATGCCGCATTCAACAGCGTGATTCCACGGTAGTTTTCACATTCTAACTGGTTTCCTTTTTTATGTAGTGGTACAATAATGCCGCTATTCCACTCCTTTGGTAGCTGTATATTCAACCATATCTTTCTTATCAGCTCATGTATGGGTTTAAGTAATGCGTCTCCTCCTTCTTTCAGTAGCTCCGATGATATTTGATCCGATCCCGGTGATTTATTGTTCTTTAATTTGTCCACTGCTGTTCTAATCTCTGCTATTGTTGGTGGACTCTTTTCTCTGTTGTCTGCTTGGTCTAACGGTATATCAGGGTTCATCTCCGTCCTATTCACCTCAAGCTTTTCCTTAAAATGTTCTGTCCATCTTCTAAGTATCTCTTGCTGTTCTGTCAATATATTACCCTCCTTATCTTTACACATCGTTGTTCTCGGTTTGAACTCTTTTCTGCTTTTGTTGAGTTTCTGGTAAAATTTTCTTGTCTCTGTTGGTTTACTTAGTTCTTGTAGTTCTTGAAGTTCTTTGTTGATACAAAGTGGGCATTATCACATGTTAAATCTCACCAAAAAGAAATTATTGTATGATGTGATAACTGTTTATCTTAAAATCGAAACATTCGAACAATCGAACATACACATTGTTATAGTTATAGCTTATTTTTATATATTAAAAAAAATTCCAACGTTGAAAACCATTACACATAAATTCTTATTGCGAAGTCACGCTCACTTAGAAGTTGATGCTTGCCATTCATTAATAGAATGCGAAAAAAATAAGAGTGCTGGTTTTTAAATCATGACTCCCTAGGACTGGCAACAATTAGCTAGAATGTGTAGTATAACTAATCCGTTCAAGGTGATTAATATGGAGACAAGTGATTTCAAAGATTTTAAGCAATTGTATAGCAACATCACGTCTCCATTTTTGTCTAGAAAAAAAAGTGGATGGCATGGATGTCTCAATATCAAAAACGGTATATTTACAAATAAGGGCGAAAAAGTATGGAACACTGTACTATAAAACTAATTTTCAAGAAAAGGAATTTCAGGCAGTCAATTTAATTCGAACTGGAAGAAGAGTCGTATTTCCTGAGGAAATACAAACTGTAAGGGATGATGATAATCCAATCTCCGAAAAACAATACAAGCATCTTTAGACATTATTGAAACGGGTTCCAAAGCATTTCTATGATTTTTATGTCAACCTAAAGCATAACAGCATACATGAAGATTGATGATAACTACACCCAATATTTTGTGTTCATTTTGTAACTTACATTGAATAACTACAATATTAGTTTTATATTTTCTATTAAAGCTTTGTTTATTTTTTTACCCACAACAGGACGTTAAGGCCTAGGGCATTTTTTTTACAACATAATCCTAATGTTAACTAATTACGTGTTTAAGGTCTTCCTCCGCTTTACTAATCCACCTCGTTCTGGGTCTACCTCTTCTTTTGGGGCGAATTATTTCTCTGGTTATTACTAGTTTAGGCATTCTGTTGGCTGCCATTCTTTCCACATGTTCCAACCATCTGATTCTTTGTGCCTTAAGAACTTGGTAATGGTAGGTTGTTTGTATAAAGCCATTAATTCATTGTTGGTTCTTCTCTCCCAACTATCTTCTGTCTTCCGTCCTCCGAACATGCGTCACCTTCATGCTACGTTTTCTGATTACAATTTCTAACACTAAGTTGAATAGTGTTAGAAATGTTGAAATGTAGTGGATAAAGGATCTCCCTGTCTCAAGCCTTTTGCAACCGTAAATTTATCTGATATGTGACCCTGCCAAGCAATTCCATACGTAGAGTTATTTATTGTCATTTTAACTAGCCGGATCAGTTTCTTTGGTATACCC